TTTTTTTTTTTTTTTTTTTTTTTTTTTTTTTTTTTTTTTTTTTTTTTTTTTTTTTTTTTGAGACAGAGTTTCTCTGTGGAACAGCCCTACTAGCTGTCCTGGCACTAGCAGACCAGGCTGGCCTTGAACTCACATTGATCCTGCTGCCTCACATTCCAGTGCTGGGTTTAAAAGGTCAGTGCCACCACTGCCTGGCTTTTTTGATCTGTGAGCCCTAAACTGACTCAGAATTTCTTATCTTTGCGATTACAGAGGAGTCCTTCCATGCTTTGCCGTAGGTCTTGTAAGGTTTTGTTTTACAAGTGGACCCCAGTGTTGAGTGTGAGGCATGGATTCACTTTTTGCTCCATTGTTTCTGTCCTGGTGTTTGAAGCCCGGTGTGCTAGGCTTGAGCTCTGCTCAGCTCCGTCCTCAGCCTGCAGATCTTCCCAGCTCCGTGTTTCAATGTCTGAGATGCCCAGTTTGCATTTCTGGGCTCTGGTGTCTATGGCTCTGTTGCCTCTGGAGGTTTCAAGCTCAGCCTCTTGCAGTGGTTTGGTGGCACACTTCAGTTTCGGGTAGGGTGTACGTCCCATGCTACTGCCTTCCTTTTCTCTTTCGTCTGGATATTTTTTGATTATTTCATATCAATGTACTTAATTCCAGGGGGAAAAATGAAACCAAATAAAACTACTCACCATTGGTCTGTTTTTTCTTTTTCTTTCTTCCTTTCTTTCTTTCTTTCTTTCTTTCTTTCTTTCTTTCTTTCTTTCTTTCCTTCCTTCCTTCCTTCCTTCCTTCCTTCCTTCCTTCTTTCTTTCTTTTGGTTTTTTGAGACAGGGTTTCTCTGTAGCTTTAGAGCCTGTCCTGGAACTAGCCCCTGTAGACCAGGCTGGCCTCGAACTCACAGAGATCCGCCCGCCTCTGCCTCCCAAGTGCTGGGATTAAAGGCATGCACCATCACCGCCCGGCTGCCATTGTAATTTTCATGTGGGTCACGTTAAATGGATATCCTACCATTCAAGTGCACGTGTCTTTAGGGAGGGGTCTCCTTGAGAGGGTAAAAGGCAACATAAAGTATTGACACCTCCATCTCCCCCCAGTATTTCAGACTGTGATCTTTGGAAACAGAGTCAGTCACACACATGAACAAGTCAAAATGAGGGAGGCAGAGTGGTCCTGATTCAACAAGAACGGTGTCCTTATGGAAAAGGGAATTTTGGACAGGGTCATGTGCACATTGAGAACCTCGTGTAAAGATGAAGGCAGGGATGGGTGACCATCTGCAAACATCAGCAATCCCTTGCCGAGAGGTGAGGACTGCACTCTCCCGTGAGGACACACACCTTATGACCAGACTTCTGTCCTTAAAAGCTGATGGCTGGCCAGGTTTGCTTCTTGAAAGCACTTGGTTTGTGGTGTTCCTTACTGTGGCCATGGCCAACTAAATAGGCCCCTGGAGGGGAGACTCAGGCTCATGCGAGCAGCCCAGTCAAGATCAACGGCGGCATGTGTGTGCTTCCTTGTCTCTGACCCCACACAGGCCCACCCAAGCCTGTTGCTTGCCTGCCTCTGGAGCTGGCTGAGAAGAGGCATGGATGCCAGGGTACTGGAGGTGTGACTTCACTCTCGATGGGTGGCCAAACCCGTTGAGGTCAAAGCTAGTGAATGAGTCATCTGTCCAGTGCGGTCAGTGAGTCAGGCAGGGCCTGCTCAAGGCCCGGGGTGCCATCACATTCGTTTCCCCCTTTCTCCTGGAACCCAGAAGCTTCTAGAAGCAGCCTCTGCAAGTTATCATCCCTGACAAATGAACAGCAAAATGGCGCCAACACCCCACCCTTGCGCCACACCTTCTGTGTGGTCCAGAAGATAAGGACAGAAGTCTTAGCAGGCAGAGCGAGCACGTGGGGTGCATCTTTGGGAAGAAAGCTCACTGGTCTCTCTTGGCCGTGACTCCCTCTTCTAGGCACGTGGCAGTGGTAAGGGTCCCTACCCTGTGGGTTCGTGTTACGGTCATAGCAAGGTGTGAATATAAGCTCCGGGCAGAGGGCCAGCTTCCCAGCAACGCCCCCGGGCCGACAGGTAGTTATTAATAAGAGCTGCTTCCAAATAAGTTCCCCACAAAGGGAAACGTGGGACACTGGGACTCACTATTCCCACGTTTTCAGCGATGATTCTTTGCATACCTAGAAAAGTCTTCCTTCCCCGGGGAGACTTTGGAATAGGCAAAGTGTGACCTCCTTTGCCCCCGGTGATGTTAATTACTGTTTCCTGATTATGAAGAGGAAATTATATCTCCACTTATACTCTGTTAAAAGGAAGGGAAAACAGGAGAGAGCTGTCACCTCTCCCACAGCATCCGTTCCCTCAGCCAGCTTATAGCAGGGTGTGACTGCAGGCTATGGTTGACAGGCTATGTCTTTGGGTCAGGGAAAGGTCCCACTACCTCTGCCCCTCTGCTGGTGCTGGGCTGCTGCATGTGTTTGCTCAACAAACTGTGCTTTGAGCTTTTGATTGGGGACCAGGAAGAGTAAGGACCCATGGTCAAGCATGCAGGTGGGAGGAGGGGCAGATGGTCCTCGGAGGAGAGTGCTCCCACGGCAAAGCTGTAGGGGTTACTATTCCAGACACAAGCGCATCTCTAGGCAGTGGTCCCATGGGTGATGACTGCTCCCAGATTACAGGGGAGGAAAAGAGGAGGCTCCCAGGAGGACATGGCGATTAGTGGAGCCACCTGCCAAGTGTGCTTCCATCCTATATTCATATAGAGCTTTTCGATCTGATACTAACCACTCCTCTGACTTCCTTCCAGGCTGAGGCCCCACTGCAAGGCTCCTCAGTTGCCCCACAGGCAATGAGCCCCTGAAGTTCACCCGTGTGTTAACGAGTTCATAGCCTTCTCTGATATCTGTGGCTGAGTGATGACACACTTTAATTCTTTTCCATGGTAAGCCTTATTATTTGTTTTCTTGGACCTGAATGTTTCAGACCCTAATAGCCACCTGGCTAAGTCACACGCAGATCAGAAAGGAAGTTGCTAGCAGTTGTTACCATGCCCATTAACTAGGCCAGGCCTCTGCCTAAGTCACACTCTGAGAACTGCTCAGATATGACAAGTGAATCTCCACACACTGAAACAGAAGATGAAAGCAAGCGTCGCTCTCTGAGGCATCCCGGGGGAGAGCTTATAAATAGCCACAGAAGAACAAAAGTCCAAGTCAACTGAAAACGTTCCTGGGCCTTCCGGCCATGTGCCCATGTCAGGGGCTGGCCGACTTTTCCCTTGATGGAGTGTTTTGTGAGCCAGCCAGGTTCTCCAGAGAGAGGCAGGGTTAGGGCTGGTTCTGGGGCTGGCCTGTGTCATACGCTGTCTCTCTGCTGTTGAATCTCCCTACAGAACACTGACTGCTCCCATTTGATGGGCAGCGTCAGAGAAGTAATACAATTTGTCCAACACAAAGCCAGAGAACTGGGCTCCTGGCCCAGGCTGTCAGACTTGAACTTGGTGGTAACAATAACGCCATCGCCCTCCATACGATTTCCTTTTAATGCTTTTGACTTTCATTTTGTTATCTTGCTTTCGAAAGTGACCCATTTGAGTAAAAAGCCACTATTCTGTCTCTATTTCTAAGGGAGAAGACACAAGGGGATCCAGCCAGCCTCTTGAGATAAGCAGTGTTAAGCCGAACACATAGTTGGCACTACGCTGACTCCAGTGAGGATGTTCTGAACACGGTGTGACTTTGGACAAGTTGCTTAACCTCTCTGGGCTTCATTTCTCTTAAGTGAGGGGGCTGAATGACACAGCACACCAGGCCTGATCAGAGAGCTGTGTGCAGTGATTGCACAATAGAGGCTGGCTCCGTCCTCGTGCCTGGGTGTGCAGGGTGACGGATTACCCTTGCCAATCCATAGGGTGGGCCAATGCAGAAGAAAGGTACCAGGGACAGGAGGTGCTGCGTTAAAAGAGCTACGCAGGTTCAGACTCTATCCAGGGCTGCTGCAGGGATCTCTGAGGAAAGCTCCAGGCCATCTGGGAGCCAGGGGCTTCAGTCAGCATGGCCGACATGGAGCTTGCAGAAACTGCATCCTCAGGAGAGGGAGGTGGGCACGGCCACATGCCAGATCTGCATTGATAGCTCCCAGCTGTGTGACCCTGGGCATGCCCCTCCTCTGAGCTTAGCGACCTCCCCTTTACGGGACTGTGGCTGAGACCAGGGGGCGACACCTGTTTATCACCTGGCACTAAAGAAAGCTTAGCCTTCACCAGGATTCTTAACGATGCTCTGCTATGTCACAGACTGAGGACCTACTATGTGCTGGGCATCAGTTACCACAGAGGAGAAAAGAATGACCCGGCCCTGCAGTCAGCAAGTGCGCAGTCCAGCGGCCTAAGACAGGGGTGAATTGGCTTCCTCACCCGGAGTATTCCAGAGCCTGGGAGGAGGAGGGGGAGAGGGAGGGAGGAAGCGAGGTGTCTCCATCTGCTTAGACAGCCCCTTTGCTGTGAGAGAAGAGTATTGGGGAGCTCAGAAGACCAGGACAGACAGAGCAGTGTGACCAAAGCTGTGGGGGTAGAAAAGGCCTAGAACATCTGAGGAACACAAGCTCACTGAGTTTTCTTAGAACCCAAGAGCAAAATCAAATCAAGTGGGAGCCAGCCAGAAGGTCAAAGAGATGGGGAGACCCATGCTGGAGGGCTTTTTTTTTGGGGGGGGGAACTGGAGTCACGGAATGTTATGAGCAAGAAGAATCTTGTAGCTTAGATTTAAAATGTCCCCCCAAAAGCTCATGTGTTGAAGGCTTGGCCCCCACTGCAACAGTGTTCAGGGAGAAACTTTGGGGAAGTGACACCCATCTTTTCAGTGGATGTGATGGTGTGCTCAGAGTGTGAAGGCCTAGAGGCAGAGGGGGAACTAGAAGAGGGAACGGAAGGGAGTGGGTCCTTGTGGTCCCTTTTGTCTTCTTTGCTTCTAAGCCTCTCCACTCTGCTTTGAACTCCGCATTCTTCCTCACCACAGGCCCACTGTGATGGTGCCCAGCAACCATGGGCTGCCCCTGCATCCTCTCTCTAAATTGTTTATCTCAGGCATTATATGACAAGGATAGGATGCAGACTGACGCGGGAGACAAAGGGAAAGAGGGAAGGGCATTGTGGGATATCGCCCCTCCCCTGGGAACAATTCTACAGGGTCCCGCCAGGTCTTTCTCTCATTTAATTTAATTCTGGATGGACAGTATTCCCAGTTTATAAATATGGAAACTGGGGCTCACTAATAGTAAGCCACCTGCCCAACATTACAGAGGAGACAGTGAGCAGGGAACCCTGTTCGTCCATAGTGGAAGCTTCTCCCCTTTTCCTCCTCTGACCCTCAAGACAGATCCAAAATGAACTCAGAAAGGTTCATAGGCCGAGGCCGACCCTGTGCTAAGTGTCCGTCTGCACAGGGCCCAGATAGAAACCGAGGCTTTTCTCCACAGTCCCAGGGAGGTTAAGTGACTGTTGGCACTCAGAAGATGGTGTGGGGGGGGGAGGGCAGGCTGAGTCTTTTGGCTGCTTCCCTGCTTCCTACCACCCCACACCACCCCTAGAGTTGTTCCTAAGCACACCTGGAACAGGGAAGTGCTCAGGCCAGTGGGGGCCAGCCTTTCCCCGAGTTCACACCTACTGTTCACACCTACTGACTCATCCTGCTCTGGGCTCAGAGCAGCTAGCTGAGCCCACAGTGCCAGCCGCTCACCCTTCCAACTCAGCAGAAGCCTCTCTGGCTCTACCCCTGTCACCAGGGTGTTTATTCTCACTGCCTGGACTGAGACCTTGGGTGGCTGTACCTTCGGTAACTCTTTCTGAACAAGTGGACCATAGGCCAAGTCCCTTGCGGTCCAGGAGAGCACCTTCTCTCAGCTGGAGCTCCAACCAATCAATGCTTCTAGGTGTCTCTCAAGGCCCACCTGGTGTGACCCGCTGAGGTTCTGATGCCAGATTCTGAAACACACAGTCCAGGGGTCTCATGATACAAGGATCACTGCTGGGAAGGGGAAAAACTGAGTTGATGACTCAGAGGAGGGGAAAGGTCTGGGTGTCCTGCTCCTCCCGCTTCACAAGGGAATGTCACCAAGCCATGCTGCATGGTACCCATTGTACAGATACTGCCTTGAAGACTCGGCAGAAAAGAGAACGGCCGGCTCGCTATCCGTCAGCAGGCGGCTGGGTTCCAGCCTGCTCTTGATGCTCCTTCCAGGGAGAGAAGAGAGCGGAACTCCACAGAGACCATCAGATATTTGACTTCAGTGCCAGACCATGCCACTGGATTTGTATAAAAAGCTCTTTTTGAAAAGTTTGGGAAGAGAAAGATATAATGAATGGCCTTGCGATAAATAAATAAATAAATAAATAAATGGAAAAAATGAAGTTGGTATGCAGTTTGAAAATGCAGCAGCTGTAACATTTTATGATTCAACACAAAAAATATGTTGAGGTCCTCAGCTGAATAAGTAGAAGAAACAAATCATTTTTTTTTCTTTCTGTCGCTGAGATGCAGGGAGGGTGGTGTTATCCGAAGCCTTCTTTGCTATCCTTTTAGATCAATGCTCAAAGGAAGGTAAACCGCCCTTCAAAAATGAAGTACCCCGAATTTACAAAGAATCTAGGCAGAACGCAAGAGATAGGGGAAGCCAAAGCAGGCGTTGCAGGGCAACGACACTTGGTGGCCGGTAAAACACCTCCCCTAATAGAGAGGAAGAAACCGCAGAATGTTCCTGACCTGGCACCCCTGCAGAGTGGTGCAATGTTTATGTTTATGTATCTAACTCCGTTGTGTCGCGGTTGGGGCTCACGGCCCAAGTTTGGAGGAAGGACACAGACATCACTGGGGTCTTCCCAGGTGCCAAGGTACAGGTTTTGGCAATGCTCCTAAGGAGCCTTGGGATTGGAATAGGAATTCAGCCTCTCTGGAGTACCAGGACCTGGGTGTGACGGGTAGAGTTTGGCCCGCGTAGCGGATTCCAGGCCCCCAGCCCTGGATCGCTAGCGCGCCCAGCTTCAGTTCAACAGAAATGAAGAGCCAGGCATGGTGGTGCTTGTCGTTCATCTCAGCACTGGCGAGGCAAGGGGTAGAAGGATCTCTGTGAGTTCAGTGCCAGCCAGGGCTACACAGCAAGGCCCTGTCTGAAAACAAACAAAACAAAGTAAAAACAAAAGTGGTGTGTGTGTGTGTGTGTGTGTGTGTGTGTACACGCTCGCGCGTGCGTGTGTGGAAGGGGTGGGGGAGCCCAACCTCTGGTGCCACGCAACAACGTGCTTGGAGGTTACTGGGTGGCGCTGTCGAGCACTGCCTAGGTCCCTCCAAAAAGCCAAACTTGGGCTCCACACCCGATTTTGCGACCCTCCTCCTTGACTCCAAGTTCTCTAGTGATCACCGCGGCAGGGATAACATTCTGGTAGGGGACAGACTGAAAGTACTTTCCCTTGTTTGGCGTAAAACATTTTAAAGTGACACTAGAGAAGGACGTCTCGACTCTCGCCATTTGTCCTCGGTAAAGCCACAGGGTTTACCGAGTTGGTCATCTCTCTCCACCCATTCCCCTTTCCCGCTCCGCTCGCCCGGGCCACTACCCCAACAGCGGGGAACAGGACCAGTTGAGACCGTGGTCCCAACAGTGCCCCTACGCTCTCGTCGGAGACTCCGGGAGGGGAGCCGGGCAGGTGTCCGCGGGCACGTCCTCATGCCGCGCGTCCTGGCCACCCGGGCTGGCAACGCGCCGGGGTCCTGCCTGCGGGCTCGGTGGACAGCAGGGTGGGGGCCGGGCTGTGAGCCAGCGCTCAAAGCCGACCCGCTCCCAGGCGGATGACGTCTTTGCCTTTGGCTTCGGCGGCGCCAAGCCCGGCAGGGCGGGTGACGTCACCAACATGTCACGTGACCGCCATTCAAACAAACAAACCGTTCCCCCCCCCACCTCCCGCGCCGCGCCCAGGACCGCCCCCGAGAAGCCAGATAAAACCGCGCTCCCAGGGCTGAGCGCGCAGCGAAGGACTGGCGGGCGCGACGCGCAGTGAAACTAGACTAAGAGCAGCGAGCACTTAGGGACTTAGGGTCGCAGTATACCGCGCCTGATCGACAAACTGTTTTTGGAGGACCGCGAGACGGGCACGCTGGGGTCGCTAGGGCTGACAATGGTGATGGAGGTGGGCATCCTGGACGCCGGGGGGCTGCGCGCGCTGCTACGAGAGCGCGCCGCTCAGTGCCTGCTTCTGGACTGCCGCTCCTTCTTCGCCTTCAACGCCGGCCACATCGCGGGATCGGTGAACGTGCGCTTCAGTACCATCGTGCGGCGCCGCGCCAAAGGCGCCATGGGCCTGGAGCATATAGTGCCCAACGCCGAGCTGCGCGGCCGCCTGCTGGCCGGCGCCTACCACGCAGTTGTGCTGCTGGATGAGCGCAGCGTCGCCCTGGACGGCGCCAAGCGCGACAGCACTCTGGCCCTGGCCGCGGGCGCGCTCTGTCGAGAAGCGCGCACCACTCAAGTCTTCTTCCTCCAAGGTACGCGCTCGCTCTGGCAGGACCTCTGCCTTCAGCTAGGGAAGGGACGTCCCACCTGGAGTGCCTGTGTTCAGTCTCCACTGGCTTTGTTTGGCTCCAGGAACAAAGACTTCCCTGAGCCTTCCTGTAAACTCGCAGCCCCCGGTGGATGGGTGACTTGTCTCCAGGTACTGTGTCGGTGATGCTAATGGGAAAATGTGTGTCTTTGTATTCTCAGGAGGATATGAAGCGTTTTCGGCTTCCTGCCCGGAGCTGTGCAGCAAACAGCCCACCCCCACGGGGCTCAGCCTCCCCCTGAGTACTAGTGTCCCTGACAGCGCAGAATCCGGATGCAGCTCCTGTAGCACCCCTCTCTACGATCAGGTTAGTAAGAGTCCGGGTCTATGCGGGGAGTTGCAAGGGGTGGCGGAGCTGGCAGAGGTCTGGAAGGGCTGTGCCAGGGAGAATACAGAGAGCGGCTGGAGCTCTATTTATACTTGAGGGGACACAGGGAATCTTTATTACACAGTAAAGCGATTGGATGGAGCTGCGTCTCCCAGCTGCTGGCATATAAGAGCTTGTTGACTTTGTCCAAGCCAATGGACTTTATTCTTTATTATTATTTTAATATTTCGGCAACAGTGCTGAGGTCACCAGGGTCTGAAACTCCCTTTTTCAGTAGGGAGTTTTTGTGGGCGTGGGAACTGGTGTTGATTCTGAACAAGCTTGATGAATGCTGGACTGTTTTGCATTCCAGGGGGGCCCAGTGGAGATCCTGTCCTTCCTGTACCTGGGCAGTGCCTATCATGCTTCCCGGAAGGACATGCTTGATGCCTTGGGCATCACTGCCTTGATCAACGTCTCGGCCAACTGTCCTAACCACTTTGAGGGTCACTACCAGTACAAGAGCATTCCTGTGGAGGACAACCACAAAGCGGACATCAGCTCCTGGTTCAACGAGGCAATCGACTTCATAGGTAAATGAAGGTGTCTGGGACCTTCTGCCTTGTGTCCCCACTGTGGCCACTGAGTCCAGCCTCCTGGTTGATGGCTTGAATGGTTCTCACCTGAGCCGTCTTCCTCACATAGCAGCCAAGTGAGGCTCAGATAACTGACCTGACTGACTTGCCCAGGATTATAAGTGGAAATACCCTGTCTGGGTTTAAAATTCCTTGCCCTGCTTTGCAGAGTGCACACCTGGAGTTCACATGCTAGCACGAGGCTGACCCTAGCCATCTCTGGACAGGTCCCACGTGACATTTCTGATGGGCTTGGGCTGGTCTCCTGAGTTTTTTTTGAGTAACCCATACTTTATTTTCCAGACTCCGTCAAGGACGCCGGGGGCAGAGTATTCGTCCATTGCCAGGCCGGCATCTCCCGGTCAGCCACCATCTGCCTTGCTTACCTCATGAGGACTAACCGAGTGAAGCTGGACGAGGCCTTTGAGTTTGTGAAGCAGAGGCGGAGTATCATCTCTCCCAACTTCAGCTTCATGGGCCAGCTGCTGCAGTTTGAGTCCCAGGTGCTGGCCCCGCACTGCTCAGCTGAAGCCGCGAGTCCTGCCATGGCTGTCCTTGACCGGGGCACCTCCACCACCACTGTCTTCAACTTCCCTGTCTCCATCCCCGTGCACCCCACGAACAGTGCCCTGAGCTACCTTCAGAGCCCCATCACGACCTCTCCCAGTTGCTGAAGGGCCAGGGGAGACGTGGATATTCAAGTGCCACCGGGACGCCACTCCTCCCATGGGAGGAGCGATGCAATAACTCTGGGAGAGGCTCACGCGAGCTGGCCCTTATTTATTTGCCCCCCCACCCCTTCCCCTCCCGAGTTCCACTGAGTTCCTAAGCAGTCATAATAATGACTTGACCGCAAGACATTTATTTGCTGAACTCTGCACGTTCGGGACCATTATATTGTGGGTACAGCAAGTCCCTCAGACAAAGCAGGGCAGAAGAGAAAGGACTCCAAGGCCAGTTTCTTCACTTGCCCCGTTTTTTTCTAGAAACTTCATGCTTGACATACCTACCAGTATTAACCATTCCCGACGACATACATGTATGAGAATTTTACCTTATTTATTTTTTGTGTAGGTGGTCTGCCTTCACAAATGTCAGTGTCTACTCATAGGAGAACCAAATACCTCAATTTTTGTGTTTGCGTACTGTGCTATCTTGTAAATAGACCCAGGGTAGGTTTGGTTTCAGCGCTGGTGGACAAAGCCAGGGTTGGTTTGTAGTTTTTGGTTGTCAACAGTTGTATGTTTGCTGATTATTTATGACCTGAAGTAATATATTTCTTCTTCTAAGAAGACATTTTGTTACTATGATGACCTTTTTTTATACAACAGAATAAATTATGACGTTTCTATTGAGCTCTTGACGCTTTCTTTCTTTGGCAACCCCACTCCTGAGCGAGTGTAGTAGGGATGCATTGGGTCAGCACTGCCAGGCTGTATGGAGTCTGATCCTGTACCTCTTGGGTGACCCATGGCTTCCACGAAATGGCGAGGTTGCCAGGGAGGCATGCAGGTGAAGCGTATGGATTAATAGGGGAGCTCCAGTGTCTCCAGAACTATTTGCCTGAATTACCTTTTGCCATTATTAACGTCCTCTCTGGGATTCACGGACAGGATCTCCCTCCCTGAGCAATTTGCAGAAGCTCTATTGCAAAGCATGGGATTAGCCTCCCTCAGAGAGACGCCCGGTGCTGTGCTGATGAAGACATGAGGCTCTGAGTAGCTGAGCAGCTGGAGCAGGGTATTAGATACTGGGTTTTGTTTTCTAATCCTATGACCTTTGAACTTTGCCATTTCTCTGTATCATATAG